TGTACGTATGTGCATGGGGTATGGGGGTCCTGACACGGTCATCATCGATCGTCATGTCTTGCTTTCCGGGGAAGATCAGCAGAACACGACCATCTCATTGGAGCATTGGAGAACTATTGTGGAGGTGCAAATTCATTTTTCACATTTACCCTCACCATAGTGAGGTATCTCTCAATGGTATCTTAAAGTGGAGTCATACGTGTCGTCCTAACGATTAATATAAATATTTGTAGGCATTAAATCATGACCACGATTTAATGAAAGAAGTGAAAGTGAAGAAACGAAAGAAGTTCTAGGAACCGAAGAGAGATGGCGCATAACCGCAGATTTAGCGATTCCCACGCTGATGATATTGGAATGAATCCTGCGTATTTTTTCATACAGCACTCGATACTTTTCCACGTACAACTTACGGGATGATTTTGGAATTCATAGAATGACCCATTTAAAGTGGTGACCCGAAGAATGGAGCAGTTAGGTACTCGTGGCTCGGTGGGGCTGAGGAAACATGCCGAAAATTCCGACTTCACTCCGTGGCGATTTAAAATACCACGGATCTTAGATTTTTTAATTTAAACCTGGTGCTTGGTTAAAAATCTTATCGAGGTCTCTTATCTAGTAAATACCTAGTCTTACCTAGTACGACCAAGACAGTGTCCAGCGTGTTCCACCTCCACCATGCATTCGTCAGACGCGAACTCGTTGTGAGCTTAAATGGCCAACAACTGCGATATGATCCAAACCCAGTGTACATTAACATTCCGACAACACCTGGAAAAGTAAGCCTCTAAAGCGAAAACTCGGAACAACCTTCTCAAAAAGATAGCTGGCTCGACATGGGGAGCAGTAGCGCATACTCTGCGAACTACGGCCATGGCAATGTGTTATTCAGCTGCGGAATACTGCGCTCCGGTCTGGGAACAGTCTTCGCATACTAGACTCATAGATGTGCAGCTGAATACAGCAATGCGTACCATCTCTGGAGTGTTAAGATCCACACCCGTGCCATGGCTGTCCGTGTTATGTCACATAGCCCCACCGCAACTACGCCGTGAGGTTGCCGCCGCAAATATGAAGGCTCTTGTTAAAGCAAATCCCGCCTTGCCTCTCCACTCCGACCTCTTTGATCCCCCAACTCATCGTCCCCCATCCCGACACCCACTCTGAGTCATATACCAACAGGTCAAGCGGTGCCAGTGGAGCAGCGCTGGCGCGAGGAGTGGACCAAGTCGACGGTGACAAATCACCAGATAGTTGACGACCCTTCCGCCGAACCACCAGGCTTCCACCTTCCACGGAAACTGTGGACCCTTCTAAATCGCTTCCGGACAGGTTGTGGACTTTGTGCGGCTAATTACCACCGATGGGGACTGCTTGATAGCCCCCTGTGCGAATGCGGTGAGCCGCAAACAATGTCGCACATAGTCAATGACTGCCCAATGACTTGCCTCCATGACGGCCTACGCACTGCACGCCGCTGGTGCTGATGTCATCACGTGGCTAAACAAGCATGCCCTGGCTCCATCCACCAACCACCCCACTTCAATTCCTGACAATACTTCGTTCGCATAGGCATTCGATAAATAAATAAATAAATAGCTAGTAAATTAGGTCACAAGCTCACATGAAATCAATCACGGGATGGTAATACTTGCTAGATTCTTTCAAGCTCTGAGAGTTGGATCGAAAGGTTCCAGCGACATGCCATTATTATATTAGCGCATCTTGAAAATCAGGAGAAGGAGGAGGCAATGCCAAGATTTTGACAATTAAATGAACCAAGCATTTTACCTGGAAGTGTTGGAACGTTTGAGAAAACGTGTTTTGCGCGTCAGACCAGAGCTCGCGCCAAATAAGTGGATTCTTCATCGCGACAACGCTCCCGCACACACGGCGCATCCCAAGAGGCAATTCCTGGCAGAAAAACAGAACTGAAACTAGTGCTGGAACACCCTCCCTACTCCCCCGACTTGGCTCCTTGCGATTTTGTCATGTTTCCAAGACTGAAAACTTCAATGAGAGGAACTCATTTCTCAATTTCTCTCAAAGGAACTCATCAATAGAAGCGATTCAGAGAGCCGTGACCGACTAGCTAAATGGCCTTTCAGAAAACAACTTCAAAGGGTGCTTTGAAGCATGGCAGCGACGTTGGCAAGCGTGTATAGACAACCAGGGAGATTGCTTTGAATGCAACCACAGAACATACTTGGTAAATTTACTTTTAAAATTTCTTTTGATTCAATCCTGGAACTTTATTGTCGGACCTCATTCCGGGGTTAACAAGGCCATCGAATCACGTATTATCGGAATAATCCCATCTCCATTTTGTCTTCTCAATTGCGTGATTCGACTAGATATTGATTTTCCGAAGTACGGTAGGAGAGATAGTGAGCAGCAGTTTCGCAACGCCGCCATGAACTAGGCAGGGAATACTGGTAGTTACATGGCGTGGATTTCCAGATGAGCCCTGCTGCACCACCGGGCTTCCACCTTCCACGGAAACTGTGGACTCTTCTGAATCCATTCCGGACAAGTCGTGGGCGCTGTGACCACCGTTGGGGACTGCTTGATAGCCCACTCTGCGAATGCGGTGAGCCCCAAACAATGTCGCACATAGGCAATGACTGCCCAACGACTTGCCTACATGGTGGCCTATGACTAAACAAGCAAGCCATGGCTCCATCCACCAACCACCCCTCTTCATTCGTGACAATACTTCGTTCACATAGGCATTCGATAAATAAAATAGTGGTTATGTGAGTATTCTTGCAAGGAGGGGGGGAGGGGATTGCTGAGATGGCACAACTGCTACGTTTCCTCTTCCCGGCTGCCCCTATTTTATAAGCCTTCTTTAGATATTCGTCGCATAATACCTTCTTATGAGCTTGGATGAGTGAGAGACGCCAGGACCATTAAACAGTCTGGGTTTGGAATTTTTTTCTCCCCTCTCCGAGTGAGCTCCGTCGTGGAAAGAGAACTGGTGGCTGGCTCACCACCTCTAATAGGTTGTGGACCATCTGCTGCATGTCCCACTTGTCGCCCTCGGCTCTCTAGGGCGACAAAACGTACCTACGTAGTACGCTGGTGGTGCCCCTAAAAGGTATTCGAATAGGTTTCTAGTCGAAGTCCTGGAGCTCTAACGAGCCAAGGAAACGTAGCTGCGATGCTGCGCATTGCCCACTCCTCCTCAGTTCGTCATACCACGGGGCCTCATGGAAGCCAGAAATGGTACTCGAAAGGTGGACTATGAAGTATAGTTGTTGAGTCGGTATGTATCTCTAACCTGAATCTTCAATATTCCAATACATTTCTGTTTTCTCACTTAACCTCGACATTTAGTACTTTCCTGAATCATTCATTGCAAGAACATCCTAACTCCAAATTTTCATATCTGTTCGTATCTTGCAGGATGAAAATAGGAAAGGGAGAAGGAAATACTTTGGCTTAATCCAGAAGGCAGTTCCTTAATTGCATTCGAAGAGTGCAGGGAACATGGCTACCATCTAGTGAGGGTCCTAGGTACTGCATTTGGATCACCCCATATAACGTGGGGTCAGTACCGTAACAAAGGGTGTGCTAGCGGTGCCCCCGCACAGGGCGCCGAACTGAGAGGGGCACCGATTGGCTGCCAGATTATTACAAAATATAAATAAAACTTTAAAAAATTTGCAAATTATCCTGAATTCAACTAAATTAAACATAGAAATTAAAACGTAATGTATTGTTGGTACTGAAGAAGCTGAAAAGGTACAGAGAGGGGGGACGGGTTGATATCGCGCCCGGGGGGGGGGGGGGGGGGGGGGGGCTGATATTTAGCACNGGGGTGGGGGGGGGGGGGGGGGGGGGGGGGGGGGGGGCGCGCTGACTGATATTTCTCACAGGGTGCCAAGTATCCTCGGTACGGCGCTGCGTGGGGTCCAGAGACTGTCCATCACTTCGCCCTTTTACCTCTTGGATAGCATCTTTGGAGAATTAGGAACAACCGCATTAGAGACGACGGAGGATGGATTATTTTTCTCCAACATTCGATGCAGATTTATTGTTTTTCTTGATACCCAGGAGCACTTATCAACGAGCTCGATCCTGAGCAACTGCTAAGCAGGCTCCCAGGTGAGTGGTTCGGTCGGTAACGAGCTTGGCTCCAGTGGCAGGGGCCCAGGGTTCGAACCCAACCAAGTTTATTTCCTCGTGCAAACCCTGCGCACTTAGAAACGGAGACCCTGGAGCACTTTGCATTCCCATCACAGGATGTGGGACGTTAAAGATCCCGGGAGTAACAGCACGGACCAGATTGAGTCTCTTTTGGTTACTCGTTTAGGGAGGGGGTTTGGTGTTCCAGAGGTCAGGGCGCAGCCAAGGGCCTAGGGCCTCTTGCGTTCGGAACCTTATCTTATCGTATCGTTTCGTTTCGTTTCATCTTCGCCCCACCTTGTACAAAGATCTGCGAAGTATAAGCGGTGAGGCGCCGGCGCACGCGCGCAATGTCAGACATGGCGTCGCGAGTGCACGGTTCAGTGCTTTGCATTGTCACACGTATTCTAGCCTAAATATTCTGCGTAGCAGTTCCTTTCTCTTGCACAAAATTGCCCTTTGGAATATGATACGTGGCGTACATAATATGGGGAGCGTAAAGAAGGGGGGGGGAGACCAAACTCAGCAAACATAGAGTATCGGTGAAAGTTGATCATGCATAATGTGGAACATCAAATCGTAGAATTGAAAGTAATATTTTCAAAACCTGTTCAATGCTCACATGTAAGAGTTTTTATGGGAACGTTTTCAAGAGGAAATTTTCATTGAATTTGGAATGAAGCTTATGTCTTTCAAGATGCCCATTTTGTTTCTGCTTTGGTGTCAAAGACTTGGCAAACTAGGTCATTTTAAAATTAACTTTGATATGTTGAAGGAACTAATCCCTGGGGTGAGCCATGATGCTCACCACCAATATTATTGAAGAGCTGAAGCCTGTTATGAACATACTGCTTTATATGTCAATCTGTTTTGCAGGGAAGCATGACACAATGTGAATGTGCATGGTCTGCCGTGGCCTAGCCTAGGCCTGTCCTAGGAGGCTGATATAGGCCTTGCAATGAAGTGGATCTTGATCAGTGAGAATTTGAGGAAAGCCTTCCATAGCCTAGCTGGTTTCAGTCCTGGTCCTTTGGTGACCCCCTTGTGGCTTCAGCAGAGTTCAGGGGAAGCCATGTCTTTACGACACTTGGCTTCTCGCGTGCTTTCTCAAACTTCTAGATTTCTTAAGACCCTGAGGAATCACCATACAGTGACTCGGTTGGTTTCTTCATCCTATCCATATGCTTAATCTGCCCTATGTTTGGCTTTTCTACCTGATTGGCTTAGGCCCTGAATGCTGAAATTTCCTTTAATTAACAGTCCTTTTGGAATACATGGAATCCTATGGGAGAAAATAGCTCTTTAGTTTAAAGGCTCCTGTAGTTCCCTAAATGAGGGTTGTGCATTCAGACCCTAGAGTTTATGAATGTTATTAGATTAGCTTAAGTCTAATTAAGCTTTAAAGTCATTGTAGACCAATAGACCCAATGTGGACCAACCATATCTGCATAGTTTTAAGAATCCCAGGCTACCCAGGCATATTTTCATTCCTGTTTCCTGTGATAAGACTATTTCTTCTTGTAGAATTGTTTGCCATCTTTGCATCTTCTTTCCCTGATTTATCTTAGTGTGATCAAAATTTGAAATTCATCTACATCTAACCTTCAAGTTTTTATTTGATTTTTATCCAGAAAACTGTCTGTCATTGGAGAGTCCGCTCAGTCTCTGCCGGCAAGTCAGATTCTGAAGTCATCACACGTGTCATCATATTGGCAATGGACAGCGAAGGTCAGTCCATGAGCAAAATTTATTGGATACCATGGATATATAATGAAGTTTTCATGATGACTTATGTTTACTGAGGAGTGTTTTGATGGAACAAGTCAATTTAAAGTGATGGCCTATATAAAGTACCCTTGGGAACTTTTGACCAAGTCTGCAATCTTTTACATGGTTGGAAGTTCATTATTGATGAGAATGCTATGTGTGGCCACTTCACTTGACAACAGGAATTGTGCTACTCCATTCACTCTCATCCTTGCTTGAATAGAAGAAGAAATTGCATCCCAAAAAATTATAATTAATGCAGGAAGCTGTATGCAAGTGACTTTTGGCACATACTTCATTTTGTATTGAATGAAAATGAGGGTAAGAGAGAGCAGACACCAATAATGTGAACTTCTTGCTTTTGTCCCATAGTGGGTAGAGGCCATACTCTTATGTCTATAGTCATAGGGTTACATTAACCCGTGTGGACTTGTTTAAGTTGCATACATGATAATATTGGACTTGCAGGCCAGAGCAGCATTCATCAGGAGTGTGCAGCAACATGGATCAGATGGTCTAGTGGCAGGATTGAAGAAAAAGATGCTACAGCATCTAATGGTTGGGGATACCATCCCTTTTATGACATTGGTGGGCATCTCCATGGCCTCTGCTGGCTCTGGAGGAGTAGTGATTGGCGGTCAAGATGAAGATTCCTACAACCAATTGGAGGAGATGAGTGCTGTCTGCCGGCTCATTCGCGTGAGTCTCTGCCATTGGTGACTGTAATGACATAGAGATATCTCCCTCATAATGGCAGCATAGCAAGTAGGTATGCAGTGATAACAGTTGACAATTCTTTGACCTGCCAGGCTTGGATCAACTGCCCTAAAAATTAGATTTAAATCAGATTAAGCTTGAGAAGTTATCTCTTCTTAAGCTAGTACAAATGCTGTAACTCAACTCTTAGGATATCATGTTATGCTGCTTTAACAATATGCCATGGAATTCAGCACACCTAATTGTTATTGAGCAATATTTGCAGTTTAGACTGTACTGCATGTCACACAGCTGGTTCCTCCAGCTATGAGGTTGCAAGCCTGCTAACAGTTGGTGCTTGATACAGAGATGAGATATGGTGATTAGAAGCATTAATGTATCATGCCTTCTTAGTTCTCTTATGGGAAAACGATAGAAATTGATACAGAATGAACCTTTTGTGAAATATAGCAATAAAGGTTTTGATGTGAAGATTTATATATTAAAATAAAAGGAAAGAAGCTAGAGAAATTATTGAATGGATGATAACTACTTACATGCTAAAAAAGCCTTCTAACACTGTTGACATTTTTAAACGCCTCAAAAGTAATAAGTAATCCTGTGTGTATGTTGAAGAATTGAATGGGATGTTGATGTGTGCAAAATGGGTAATTACCATTTTAGGAGGCAGTGTACAAGTTGGACTGGGTGTACGACAAGTCATTCTGGGAGGAAAATCTTGAGGCTCTTCATTCCCGAGGTTCTGTCTCCACCAGAGACTTCATTTTTGGTCCTTACATCACCAAAGGATCTGAGGCTGCTGTTTATTCAGCTGCCTGGAAGACACCTGATACTGGTGTGAATACTACCCAATCTATTGATACTACACTACTTTGAATGTTTTGCCCCTTATAAATGCCACCATCCATAACTTCAGTTTGAACAAGAATATGTTAAGATGTAAGAGATGTTCTAGCCAATACCCATTTGACAAATGGGTATAGGACAGTAAAATTTGAAATTGAAATTAAAGTTAAAATTTAATAAATTTCCTTATATCCCATCTATAAGTGAATTCCTTACCATCATTCAAATTAACAAATGGTACTGTTGAAAAACATTCAGATTTGTGTTTCTTTTCAATGTCATGTTAATGACAGAGATGAAAGTTGTTCCTCTCACTTTGAAGGTTACTCCTGATCCTTGAAGTCAACTCTAGTGTTGCAGCATGAAGTTCACCCAGACATGATTACACAATGGTAACTGTAGTAAATAAATATGAATATAATTGTGGTTGTCACCATGGTCACCATGGTGACCAAGTTTGGTTACTGAGCAGTTTAACCTTTAGATATGAGGAGCTGAAGGCTTCAGTAATTTTTTTAATGTAACATGTTCCCATGTGAGAATTGAGTTCCTACCAGAACAGCCAGCTTTTTTGTATTGTGAAGTATCAATGAAGCAATTCCTCCTGTTCTCCAAATAGCTGTCCCACAATGCTAGAGTAAGTCAAGGTTTTTGGCCTTTGTCTTGCTATCTACCATAATTTTATCCCATATAGGGAAGTCGAAGGAGGATAAGGAGCGGTCTGTTAGGAAGAAGAGGAGAGAAGAGGATGATAGAAAGTATCCTTTGGCCATCAAGTTTCGCTTCAACCTTGAAGCCGAGTCAAATGCCTTTGCCATTTATCATGCCATGCAGTTGGAGATGCTCCCTGCCTTGTCCATCCAAGGAAACTTTGATACTATCCCCACATTCTGCAGGTTTGGTTATCTTCTGACCTAAAGCAACTATATTCCTAGACCTTAATATATGGATAAAGTGAGGCTGCAAGATGGGAAGATGCATTGTGTATGGAGTTAAAAGTTCAGACATCATTGCTAACGCCAATATAACTGCTGCCTTCATCGTGTGATCAACTTCTCTTTCAGGAAGAAGATAACACCATTGCCATGCCATCCAAACATTGTGGCCACGACTTGTGCATTTGCAGATCGATTTCCCAATCTGCCAGGGAATCTGGAGCATTACCCAGATGTCCTTCCATCTCGAATTCATCCCCAGGGGAGTGGGAGGAACATGACTCTCTTCCTTGTCATGAAGAGGTCTGCATTTCCCCCTTCTCATTTTCACTCATGAACTTTTCCCCAACTAAATTGGACTGTTGTTTGTAAAGTGACCAATAGAGTGTGTTCATAATAGATTCAGATCACCTTTTCAATTATTAGCCACTATATCCAGTTAAAATTGATGCACATTTATTTTTCTCATGATGAATCAGTTGAGCTTATTGAGATGCAGATTTGGTGTTTTTCTTTTCCATCTTGAATTGCATTTTCTCTCAGATATTAGTATCTCATGGCCCCCCCATGTGCCACATATTCTACTTATAGGTATGACATGTCTCTGGAGAAGTATTTAGAGCTACATCCTCCTGAGAGCATGCGGACCCAAGTCCTCATATTGGCTCAGATACTTGAAGGCGTCCTTCATCTGAATTGGCATCGTGTTGCCCATAGGTGAGACTATTTCTCTTCTTGCAATGTGACTGCCAGGTAAATAACTGCTCTCAGCCAGAAGAAATATAACAAATATTAAATGAAAACTAAAATAATAAACACCCCTGCCTTTGAGGATTTCTCTTTTGATAAGCAAAGTGCGTTCTGTGCATTCCCATGCTGAAGGAACTGTTGTGCTTTAATTGTAGATTGACAGCTCTTCAGAGTAATGTGAGGAGATTTTGACATTTGAACTGGATCTGGGCAATTTCTCATTTCTTTTAAAGCCTGGCCTTTTGATAACTCTTCATATTTGTTTTTTAAATATTTATTATAGAGATTTGAAGACAAATAACATCTTGGTGGGACTGGAGGAAGGAGTGGAGTACCCCCATGTTGTGATCACAGACTTTGGGTGTGCTTTATCTGGGAATCTGGAAGTGCAGTATCCTGGGCCAGATGCCATTGCTGGCAATCTGGCTCTCATGGCCCCTGAGGTAGATCTCCTGTTTGCAGCATTGTCACAATGTTTTCCATTCCATAGTGTTTTCCTATTTCCATTTGTACCCTTTTTACTTCCAACAAGGACTCTTCCATCAAGTCTTGTTAACAATGGAAGGCAGGTTGAAGGAAGTTCATTTCACATTTCAGTTACAGTCCAGGAATACTTCCCAGATGCAATCCTCCTGATAACATATTATATTAACATATCATACAAATCCCTTCCTGTGACTTTTTCATCTTAATAACAAGGAAATTAATGTCAAGCTTACCTGTAGGTACTCTGCAGCAATAAGACCTGATTTACTGTAAGCATAAAGAGAAAAAAAAAGTCAGTGTGTGGAAGATTTTTTTCTGTTGAAACATAACCTTATTGTCTGCTCAGTAGCATAACCATTCTTCTTAGGAAAAAGCATGGAAAATGACAGCATTTGTGTGAGGGTGTATCCATCCAGATCTAAATGAGAGGGTCACTTCATTCAAGGTTAGGATAGGGATGTGAAGAAGTATTTGTGCTCATATTGATACCCTGAGTTTAGGTCAAGTAATCTTCCTATTCCTTCTGCTGTTGGCATGAACTTATCCTGGATCATGTTGAAAATTGATGGATTCACCCCATCATTGGTAAGTTTTGAGATACAGAAAAAGTCAGCCCCAGAATTTTCTTGGTCTGCCTGTAAAAGAGGTTAATGTTGCAGAAGATAAGATGCACAGTCTTTGACTGAACATAAATATCTTAACGGGGACAGCAAACCTCAGGAGCATGTTGTAGAATTGAGAATCATTAAGCCATGAAAAATAATATTATCCTCAATGTGATTACTTCTAACTATGGTAACAGAGTTGAACATAACCATGGCATCTGGACTGTGGTTGCATGGTGACATCTGAACAAATTCACCATCTACTTGCAGGTTATTATATCTGACTCTGTGAACTAGCTGCACATGGGAAAATCCCTTCAGAAAGTAGGTAGCCATGCCTCTTCTCAAAGAGTGAGATATCCTGAAAACCACTTGTGTTAGATCATAGTGAGTAGGAATTTAGCGATGCTGGTGGTACATATAAGGCTTTCATAGGCATCCCATTTCAATGATGCCTCCAAAGTGTCAGTAACATGTCTCTTCAGGAAATAATAAATGTGATAAATGCTTTGTCATTCTAGATTTTGAGTGGAATATCTGGGGCTAATGAACGATACCGACGAACGATGCTGAACTATTCCAAGTCAGACATGTGGACTGTGGGAGCAATTTCATATGAGATCTTTGGTGTCTCCAATCCTTTTTATTCCACCTTGATGAGTGAGACCTACTGTGAAGAGGAACTGCCATCTCCACCAGAACATGTCCCTCTGCTCCTTCGGGAAGTTATCTTCTCCCTGCTGGCCAGGAATCCAAGTGCTGTAAGTATATCTTGTGACCCTATCTTCAGATACAGCTCCCAGCAGTGTTGATTGGAGGGCTATCAAGCATTATCCATTCCCTTGTGATTCAAGGAAGCAGTTTCAGGATTTCTCCTGTTTCATCCCCTCTTTTCTATTGAGCTTGGTTGAAACTACTAGATATTTAATTTGGTGTACCATTTTCAAAGAATTAGCGTGGATTTCTTGAACCCTTCAATTTATTGCATGCCTGCCTACCTGACTTTAGTCCTCATGGAATTAATGAAATGTGAATATGAGTCATAATTCCTTGTATTGGAGTAAGCTAGAGCTGAATATTACACTCATGTGTGACTTGTTGGTCTGCTTCATTTTGTATCTGATATAGCAAGCTAATTATGGAACTTTATTTGAACTGTGTTACAGCGCCTGAATGCAGCAACAGCTGCAACAGTGATTCAACTGTTCCTTTGGGCACCTCAGTCTTGGCTGGATCCTCATCAAGAGGATTCCATTCCAAAGCCTGAAGACATCACCAATTGGCTACTTGCTCTCACTGCAAAACTCATTTATGAAGCCCGCCATATCTCCTCGCCTTCTTCTGGGAGCCAGCATCCGACTCAGTTGGAATTTCAACTCATCTCCACCTTCTTGTCTCGAGTGACACCGAGGGATTTGGATCGGGCCCTTTCCTTCATCCAAGATGCTCAACAACATCAGATGCCCATGCTTCAGAGTCTGTGAGGACACAGTTGTAACAGTTGTATTGATCCAACCCTGAGCTTTATGAATGTTGTCATTTTCAGGAATTGTTGATGAAAACATCAGTCCTTTGGATTGTGGAAATCTTGATAGCCTAGTATGACTGTGATATGGAAGGTGATTCTTTTTGGTCTTTAGAAGATTGTGTATAATCAAGAAGAGTAGGTCAGGCTGATGTTGAAGTTAGGGAATAGTCTGATGACTGGTTCTGAATTTTGTTCACTAATTGTTCATTGCCTTTGATTTCTTTCTGTATTCTAGTACATTTATTTCTTGGAAGGAAATAAATAGCCCTTTCTCTGCTACCGGTTTAACATTTGCTTGCCTTTCCTATACCAATGAACTTGCAGTTCACTCTGACCAGAATCTGAAGAAGAGGATACAATTTAGAGTGCTCTTATCTATTGGCAACTCTGTCAGCATTTCACATGAGCCTTCTCAGATCGTGGCTGTCTGTCACCAGGAATTCACAAACACTGAGGTTGACTGTTAGCAATTAAAGTGGTGCACTTATCTTAGGCATACCCAAGAGCCCTCTCATGAGTGGGTCGCTTCCACATTTTAATGTTCACCCTTTAGTTATCTTGGGTGGAAAAAGAGACATTCTCCAGCTCCAACTTGATCTCTGAAAGAGAGACAGTAGATGTGGGATCTCAGAACACCCACATGCATTTCCCCCCAAAGAATAATGGAATGTTCGTTATGAAAAGCAAAGCTCAACTCTATTCTAATTCGCAACGTACATTTCACTTGACGATTAGGTCTTTGCTCTCCTTCGATTGCAACAATTGAAGCTTACGAAACATGATGACATCATGCTGAATCTGTCAGGTGGTGGCATCCTCTGCTGTGCAGTTCGTCCTAGTGTCCACTGTCGTTATCAAATTTGTGAAGTAGCAGCATTTCAGCAAACGTTGAGGAAAGAATTGCGCTGACTCGGATATCCAAAGTATCACATGAATTAAAATATCGAACAGCCTTTAACCGAAATAAGCATCGTCGAGAACTCGAAATGTCGAATTCAATGAACGACGCTCCAAAAATTGGATAAATTTGCCGAAATCATATTTCGCCGAGAGAAAAAAGAACCCGTGAAAGCTGATTTTCGCCGAAACATCGTAATGCAGGGTAAAGAACAATTTTGAAGTCACGCGTTCCATTGCACAGTCCAGGAAGTTAACGATTTGATCAAATGTGGGGGAGAAGGCTGTGTTGATTCATTTCAATTGGAAACATTATAGGAAGGCCCACTCAAGAAAGACAGTGATCCCCAAAGGCACGTTCGATTTCCATAATTCTCCTGCCAATCTCTGACTTCCTTTTCCCTGGAATGCGGCCCCTCTTCCAACTTCGAAGGTTTATACCGCGCTCCAAAAGTCTTGCAACGCTTTTTCGCGAAATTCTCAGCATCGTCTGCGAACACTTTTATATCCTCAGACAGCTTAATCTGTTACCTTCTCAAAGCGCCCCCTCGTGTCATGATTTGTGTCATCGTTTGCCCAAAATTCGCCCCAGAATCCGTCTTGTTCGACGAGGTTTTTCAGCGTGGAACAATTAAGATCTGTCCCCAACCGATTGTTGGCAAGCCTACTTCTCTTCTTCTCTATGCACCTTAAGGGAAAGACTCCTGTTAGTGTGCTCCAAAACTTCTGCCAGTTTTTTCATGATACAAAGTCTCGGTACCTATGGCATCAAGAGAAATATATATATATATTTGGATAACTTATTTTCTTGGTTGCGCAAAGCGGCCATTACAAATCAGGGTTTGAGCTCCCATATCCTCAAAATTTTCAATCCGCCTCGGAATCTCCTCCTAGAACAATGAGAGAAACATGACCCCGTCCCCATTCCAATTCCTGGCCAAGTCCGAGGAGCACCACACGGTGTCTTAAAATGCTAGAGAATTGTTTCATTTCGCAGCCGCCTGGTCACTTCAGGCCATTTCTCCCCGTCTTGACATCGATATCTCAGTTGCGAGTAGGACCATTGACCCTTACCTGCAAACCGAGTAGTAACCGAGAGTACCAGTTTCCGAAATTTTCCATCGTGAAAAATCTGACAAGAGTTTTTCGTTTCCAAACGGTAACGACGCCCTCCGTGCCTCAACATCCTTAGTTGTCTGTCTAACATCCTTGGTAATCTCACCGCAGAGGACTCGATCTCGAACATTCCATAGCTCTGGCGGATCGACGGCTTCATCTCTGCACAGCCGATTTGGCTGTAGATGCCACGGTTGCCTCCAATCCAGCAGGGAATTCCTGGACGTCTTCCACTGGAACGAAGATGAGGCATGTCATGCGAATGTTTACGGGAAACTCATCTCTGTAGGGCTGAGTTCGACCCAGTCCCTGAATATTTCGCCACACGCTCTTGACAGAAGTGAGAAACGGGCCTCGTGCTTAACCTGAGGGAATTCAAACTTCACGGCTGCAACTGCTCCCGATTCAAAGTCAGAGCAGAATGTTTGCAAAGAAGGGGAACCGAATAGAGCATCGACGATGACTTGGAAAACAGAAGTACTTGTATATGTGTGACTGATCTTTTCTGAATGCAGGAGGTAAGCGAGATGCGGCCACGAACAGCATCATGGGTGGAATGAAGTTGAAGAAAAGCGTCATCTCTTGCTCGCGGAGCAATTTCAAGCGTCCCATCACCGTACCGATTTATTGCATGTTGAATATGTTTCAGATTTCTTGGGGTGGCAAAAATCCACGTGCAACGAGCATCGCGCATGATCACATATGAGACGGTCCACACCCTCCGTTGTACGGCGCTAGCGACCACCGACTTTGAAGGCCAGCGACTTTGTGTGGCAATGCAGCTATTTATTTTCTCCTCTTCCATAGAGCAAGCTGCTTCAAGGAATTCAGGGACGATTGAGTCACGGCCGTTTGCCGGTAACCAGGTTCCGAGCATTTTCAGGATTTCTTCCTCCGAAGCGTCTATGAATAATTCAACGTCACTCACCTATATCGATTTCTAAGGTTCTCTTAGGATCGACTTGTTATAGAGACACTTCGGGTTCATCGTGGCTTCTGCTTAAGCCTGACCAGTTGCGGAAGAAGGGTTTCGTAAAACTTGGATTGCAACTAAGTGACTCGGAAAAGTTATAAGTTTAGTGCAGACGAAGGGTAAAATTTTCGCTTTCACCCAATTATCGGGTAAAAGCGAAAAAAAATTAGTAAACCTGGCATGCTCATGGTCTGTAGAACTGAATGTTTTTTCAGTTTCCTACTTTCTTCTTCTGGAAGAGATATCCATATATCCCCAGCATATCCTCCCTCGTTGAGACTTGATCGCTTCAAACACGATTGAAATGTGCAGCGCACAGCAGAGTATAACTAGATGTTGTCCGGGGCACAATCGAGCGGATGCATGCACCCGGACGGCCAAAACGAGGAAATGAGGAATGAGGAGTAAAACTGGGATTTTTTCGTTCTTGCTTGCGGCGACACGAAACTTTGGATCTCTAGGAATGTGATTTGATGATCTTGGATGCACAGTCGCGAGAGCATCTTCGACACAATCTCCGTTCGTCGGCGATTATTTCGATATCTCGATACCAACCGAAAAAGAAACTTGGAGAAGCGCTCCTAATTCTACAGTGTTTTTCACTTGAGTTAGACATTTTTTCACTTCGACAGCGGTGCATGGTGACGGTGATATAGCGGATCGACGCAGAAACTAGGAGTTCTATTCTCAAGTGCAGATGTCGTGATGACAATGTCGACAATGATGATTAATTTCCTATCGAAGAGAGGAAAATCTGTATGAACCCTCCCAAATACGCAATACATTGAAATGATCATTTAATGTTGTAGTGAAAACTAGGCTTTCGTGTCACCCATTACTGTATTCCTTGATAATATTTCAATAAAACGGGTGATGTTTTGGGCATTGTTCCTGGGTTCTGAAGTATCATTTCCCACGCCGAACTCACATAGGCTAGATTAGGCCTCTCTAACGTGGACCTGGGATTGTTCATCGAAGTCCGATCCAGTGTTTCTACATGGTTGAGTCAACGGGAAATTGAAAACTTTGAGCCTTTTTATTTATTCAAATAGACTGCAAGGAAGGTCTCCTGTTGAGACAACGTGGCTATGCTCGCGGTTCATCATTTCCAGTACATAGTTTGATTCATATGAAAAAGCCTAAATATTCGAAATGAAAGATGTCGCTGGTCACCAGGGGTACCAGCGCCCTCGCCTCCTCTCTGAATACCCCACGCATTGGTGTCTTAGTCAAGTGAAAAATTGTCTAACTGAAGTATTCACTCGTTCGCTCATAAGCTTTGGTGACTCCACGCTAGATGTCTCTCGTGGGCTACCGGAGAACTCTCCTTCGTTATCCCGCTTATGCAAAGAGAGCACTGACGCGAGGGAGTTGACCCGTGTTCACCTCTACTCGAAATTCTCGTTTTCGGACCTGAGTTCTCAGACCGTGAGATTCTCGACGGGATGAAGTCGAAGCAAGGACAAAAAGGGATTCCATACCAGGCTCACCGAGCCGAGTCCACCGACCGCAGCATCGACAATGCTGCTTCACCGATAGATTTATGAAACTAGAGAGTATTAGCCCAGGTACAGAGCTGGCATTCCACTGGCCCCTGTACCACTGGATTTATTATATATATTCACTGCATTCTAACCATCCAACCTTGAAATAAATAAATAGCTGTCATTGGTTCGGCGTGGCCTATATGAAAAGATGTGGACAACTAGACTTGTTCTCGATGGTCCGCGCGTCCACGTCGCGTGGAGACGGGAGGACGGTATGAAGTGTAGGATGCCAGATACGGCATTTCACGCGTGCGCCTAGCAACCCTGTCTACGCGGCAGGGAGTAGCTGCTCTCCTCCATTGTCTATTATGGAACCGTCAACCGCCAGGGCTGGAAGAGAAGTGGATGTTTTCTTGAAAGAAGGGCACCCCGACCCAAGCGGAAAACTGCGCGTGCGCATTGGGTCGTGTTGTCCGGTTGCTATGGTTACTGCGGACAGACGGAATGAAAAAGAAAAAAAAAGTGACAAACCGACCGCAATATCTGGCATTTCCCCAAAGTACCTATGGGAATGCCAGATAATAAATGTACGAGGAGTCACCGATGGAGGTGTTGAAATCTCCCCCCCCCCTCCCCCTCCAACCCTTGAATTTAAAATGGAAAACGTCAGAACTAAATTTGACAAACTTTTGGTTTTGGTTGCACCTCGTTCCAGAGACAACCAGTCCTCGAAAGCCCATAGGTGAAACCCCCCCCCCCCCCCCCCCCCCCCCCACCCATCGGAGAGAGATCGGCAAGCCCTTATCGCTTGGAACGGCATGCGGCCCACGGTGCCACGTGCCGTAGAGCAGCGGTTCCCAGACTTCGAACAGCGACCCACTTGCCGACGCAAAAAAGTTCGCGACCCATCGCAATCCAGAATGAGGTATTTTAAAATTAAATTTGGCATGAAGAAAACTCATTGAGCGTTTTTGCAGTGCTTGTCTTATTCTGAGCTTGACTTGTGCGTTTGGTGCACTTTGCAGAGATGCTTTATTCTGGGAAGAAATCTTTCCCAAGGCGAGTCGAGATCGTTCTCCATTTGCAGCCGCGAACGAAACTTTTTTTTTTATCGAAGTCAGAGCAGAGAATACTGTTTCACACGGATATTTGATAGCGAAGGGAAGCAGTGCCCCTGTCGCCTTCTTTACAAGAAGGGGACATTTTTAAATTGAGAGTAAGGTGGAAGGAGAAGGAAGGAGGGGAGACGCACAGGTAGAAGTGCGCAAGGGCCGAGCTTATTCAATTACTCAGGGTTAGCATACGCGGATATTGCTTTTTTACTGTGGGAAACTTGTCACGACCCACTAGTGGGTCGCAACCCACACAACCGCTGCCGTGGAGAATGTGGCCATCGAGCTTCATTGGAGCCGAGTGACTCTGGATTAAGAGTATTG